GTTGTAAAAAAATTAATTAAATAACAAATTTTATATCCATAACAAATAGATATTGATTGGTTTTTATATATTAGGAAAAAATCACTCAAAATTCACTCAAAAAGGTAAATGGATAATATGTTAACAAAAATATAAGTTGATTTTAAATAAATAAGGAAATAAGATAATGATTTTCCATGAAATTTTATTATATAAATTTTGATACGTCAAACATGATAATTAACAAGATCGTGATACGTGCCCAAAAAATTCTAATTAAATTTTGCCACATATATCATGTAAATCTTATTTCATTTTAAACTTATATATTTGTACCTATCAAGTAGATTATAAAAATCAATATATATATAAAGATTGTTCTAATAATACATGTGTAAAAATATTTTAGTTCAAATAGACTTAGGTTTATATACCAAATCATCATAGATTATAATATTTCGTCTATATATAATAAGCGTTTGTGCTCTTTTAATTTACCTTACCAAATAATTTCAAATTTTGATAATCTCTTCCACAAATTTTATTTCATCTTTGTCATTGGAAAATAACATCAATTATCTTCTTACTCTACATGTGAGATAGATTACGATGATCTAATTGTAGTATTTCATTCGTTTCTGCAAATTGCAAACTAAAATTTTGTGCATCATTCGCTTCTTGCAAAATTTGAGAATCAATTATGTGAAAGAAATTTGAGAAATTTCAAAAAATGCCACTTTTCAAGTGCCACTTTACAAAAATGCCACACTTTTGAAATCTTTACAAAAATGCCACCTTTTCAAAATTATTTTTTCTTTATATTATTTATGTTTGGGTTAATTATGTTCTATTAGGGTTTAGTTTTGAGTGTTTAGGGGGTTTTAGGTGTTAAAACATTTTTTAGGGTTTAGAATTTTAAGATATAGACTTTATAAATCTATAATTAGTGGCATTTTTGTAAATGGACACCCCTAAGTGGCATTCTTGCAACTGTGCACATAAAAAGTGGCATTTTTGTAATTGTCCAAGAAATTTTATTAAAATTTGTAATTTTAGCTTGCAACTAAAAATATGACCTTTAATTCATCAAAATTTTGGAAAAATAAATATATGAGTAGATACATAAGAAAAATAATCTAATTCATTTAGGAATAGAAAAAACTAATTACTTAGAATTTACAAATTTAAATAAAAAAATAATATACTAATAAAAAGAATCAAAACATCTTAATAACGGTGAGACTTCTCTATTAGTGGTGTTGCATTTTTTAGTTTTGTTATTTTTCACAGATTGTAAAATATTTATAAAACCAAAAAATTGTAAATAGGAAAATGAGTAATTAATTCAATTTTTTATATAAAAATAGAGTAGTGAAGTAGTAAAAACTAAATTACTTCATAAATGAATAAAAAACTAATTACGTGATAAAATTTAGGAATTACTTGGAAATCAAAAAAAAAACGACAAAGATAAAAAAGTAACTCTTAAG